AATCCTTAAATATTTTACACCAATTAAGGTGAATTATTAAAGAATTCTCTTAAATTTAATTTCTAAGCTATTTATTCTATATTTTAAGTATTTTTCCCTAAAGTTCTAGATGCCAAAGCTGAAAATAACATAAATGATGAATTTCTAACGTTCCTATCATTATAACGTCATCATTGCTAACTATTCAAACAACTTATTTTCGAATAGAATCTTTTCTATATTTTAAACAAATTCAGTTTAATAAAAAAGTCCTCTATAATCAACTTAATAAGGTATTATTGTCTTGATTTATCATCAATTATCCATGTATAAACATTCTCAGAATTCACTTGGGACAGATGATTCTTTTAAAAATTAGGATATGATGTTTTCATAACATATTATACAAAAAGTAGAGTTGAATCTAATTCAATTTGAGTTAATTTAGCAACTTTTTTACTATTAAGGTAAATATTTAGAATGCTTCAAATAAGATTGATCTATCAAAATTATACATCCCTTTCTAAATTATTTAAATATCCAAATTTAATATTACGCAATTCTCGTAAATAAAGTGTTATTCAGTAATGTGATTTAGTAAATTCAAGTAATGAATCAGTAGCCCATTCTGCATTAACAATTTAAGAGTTAATTCCTTAATCAGAAAAAAAGTTTTAATTTGATGCTAATGTAAGTGGAGCCTTAAAAAATGAAGCCATTTTTGATATTGGTTTAATACTTTATGAGAAAAATTTTAGAATTACGCAGGATTGCTTAAAGCTTATAAGAGAGCAAGGAAATTATCAACTGCAACTGTTTCATCAGATAATACAGACTACTTAAGTTTTAAATGCTTTTTCTTATTCTCTAATTAAATCTTCTTCATCATAATTTTTTCTATTTGATTCTTAATATTTTTCTAGATTAACAATCTCTAGTTTTCAATTATTCCTTCTTGGAATTAATAAATTTTCCGATTATATCTTCTAATCTATTGATATCAATTAAGCATCATTGATTGATTAATTTCAATCAGACAACTAAAGGATTATGTTGATTTGTATTTTATTAGAAATTAAATTCTAACAATTAAACTCCATCAATTAAATCATTATCTAATTCTTTAATGACATCAATTCAACTACAGCTCCTCCTTGCCTATGAATGTAATTCATCCAAATACAAGAGAGCTTTTCTATAATTTGATTTTAAACTTTTTGCAAGAGCAATTACTAATACCAGAACACAAATTGTTTTCATTTTATTTAATATTCTACAAAAACGAACAATTTATTCCATTTTTCAATTTTAACTAGAAATCTAAATTTGAATTATAACATATAAGCAGGTTTATCTTCATAAGAAAAAATATTATTTTTATCTTATTTATTAATAATATTTCGATGATGTTCATGATGGATATATTATTTCTTCTAATAATTTCTCTTCTAATTATGTTGTTACATTAGTAGGTAATTATGAAGGATGATGTTAAGAGACTCCTTCAAATGAAATACTAGAAGGGAATTAATGAGAATCATTATGACCATCAAATTCAACATGTCTGGATATAATAAGATTAATAAATTTATTTAATTTGCATCTATTATATTCAAATTCATCCTTATAATATTAAGTTATATAGGCTCTAATAGATGCTGGCTCATTGTGAATTATCTTAAAAAATCATTTACTACTAAATCTTCAATAGGATTTATAGGTTCTGAATTAATTTAGGTCTTACTCGTATGCTTCCAATGAGATTCAATACCCATAGTATACTATTGATTTACAACTGCTACATTATTCTTTCTAGAGTATAATTATAAAAAAGTCTCGAATATCTCAATATCCTTTCTATCAATCAAGATGTTCTATTATTGAAGATTCAATTTCTCAAAAAGTTTATCAAATCAAAAATCTCTATAATTTATCAATTCATTCAGCAAATTGTTCTCCTCCAAGAGCTACCAATTAAAAGGCAAAATCCTATTTGACTAAGAAGTCTAAATAAATTCAAAGAAACACGAGCTAATCAAATATTGGTTACATCATATTAAATACATATGAATATATATATACTAATAAATAATGTATTTTTATCAAACTTTCTTTTCTCATTTTATTCATCTACCCATTTCAATGATATAAATCTCTCCAAAATTAAGTAACCCTTAAACTACTTCTCTCAATAAATATCTTACTTCATGTTCATAAAATAAAATTTAGTCTTATTCTTTTATTTAACAAGCAGGGTTTATTACAATAACTATTCAATATTTTATCCAAAATAATAATTTTTATTTCTTGTGTTTTTCTGTTATTAATTTATAATAATATAAATTATTAATCAAACTAATTATTTATTAATAAATCAAAAATCAACAACAATAAATTAGATAAACAAAAATATAATTAATAAATATCTTCTTGTTTTTGTAATAATGGGTATGTGTCATAATTTTTAAAATTAGTAATGAAGCATAAAATTTTAGTTCTATTAAAATTGAAATATTATGAAATTTATAAACAATTATTATTTTCATATTCAATCATAAGATATTTCTGTTACCTAAAGCTTTTAGGCAAAATTAACAATCAAATATCCTGCATCTTAATCTTGATGTTTTGTATTTCATTTAAGATTTCCTTAATGAATCTCTTTCTTAGTAGGAATGAAATGTGTGAAATTAATTTTAATTGTACATAGTGATATATTTTCTCATTATTTATTTCATCCTATCCGTCACTTTCAATCCAATTTAGATATAAATCTCTACAAATTCAGACTCTGTATATAAATAATTTGTATATTCTTCTGAAAGTGACTAATTACATCAACTTCCTTTTTCAATTCTAATAATTAAGACACACATTTGCTTTGTCAGTTTTGAAGCATATTATAAAGCGAAAAAAAAAATCAATCTAAATGACATCATCTCCACAATTTGAAACATTTTATGATTTAGGCAAATTATTGTATTTATATAAGCTCCTGTTAAATCTTTTTAATTAAATGAAATTCAACAAGTGTCTAGATGCATAATGAAATTGCAAAGAAGATGAATATTATAGCAACTGATTTCATTTTAAATATATTTAATATTATCAGAATCCTTCTAAATTAGAGAAATGCTTTTAATTTCAAACCAATTAAATCGTTATTATTATCTAAAGAATAGAAGTAATCAAAAGTATTTTGAATAATTATGAGTTATACTTTTTTTAATGTGAATTCTTATTCTCATCATATTAGGTTGATTATTGAATTGAATGAAATGTATACAATCTCAAAAAAATTGTAATTTGATACCTGCAGTATTTCACTTTAGAAACTATCTATTATTATTCTTACTTATTTAAGATATATTTTCATTACCCTAATACTTATTAGAAGATATTTACATTCTTTGGTTGTTTACTCTAAAGTATTTGGCAAAGCAATCATCTTTTCAATTTTGGTATTCAAGGCCTTATTTCCTATTTTTACTCACTATTCTATTATTTGATTATTCATTTCTTGCTGGATTGTATAATATTTGTGAATAATTATTTATTTCTGTGAATTACTTTTTTCATGCACTTACAAACTCAATAATAAATATTATATTTTTAATTTATCTTCAAGAAAAAGAAAAAGATCTTATTCAAAGATAATCAACATTCTAAAAAAAAGATACTAATAAAAATTATCTGTCTTCTTAAAATAAAGAGTTTTCTTAAAAGCCATTTAAGGATGATGTTATATATAATGAATATAAAACTGTTCACTTTAAATTAAACTTTTGTTAAATTAATCCTTTACTAGTTATTAATATTAAATATTTAAAAAATATTTTTATCATGATTATACAGATTCTATTATTGATGACTTAATCACTAATTCAGAGAAATCTTTTCATAATTTAAGAGAGAAATTAAAAATCATGTTAATTTTTAAAATTAACCTGTTCTGTATAGATAAAAATATTTTACTATAATTCTCGACAAACTATAAATTATAAGTGACAATAATGACAAATTTTGTGTTAATAAACCATTGTATGGGTATTTTTTCTTAAATATGATTCATCTAATTTATCATTTGACAAGTATTGATACAAATATTAATAATTAATTTATATTAGCAATAATATTTAGTTTCACATTTTTTATTAAATTAATTTATGTTTTTCCCTTCATTAAGAATCCTATATCTTGTTTATTACTGAATGTAGAGTATATAATTTAAGATAAGAATCAAAATTAATTTAAAAAAATTTATAAATTTTGTTTTAAGTTTTTCCAATTTTTTTAATGGATACCAGTGAATTCCTCAACCCCCAAATCTTAGAGTTATTTAAAATAACTGATTTTAAACTAAAATATACCTCTAAAAAATTTATCTTTTAATAAAATTTCAAATAAAAATCACTTTTTTATTCAATTAATATGAAATTAATGATTTTAATCAAACAAAGAATTAAACCTAAATTATTGATTTATGAAAAATTTCTACAATCAAAAAGAATGTTAAATAATATAATTCTATATATAGAATGTAGTAATAGAATTAATTTCATTTTAATACTGATTACAATTAGAAAATTAGAAAATTATAAATGTCTCAAAGTTAATAAAGATTAAAATTGTTATCAAAGTATTAGAATATTATTCCACTCTTTAATGGAGCTAAGTGTTGAAACATGTCTCAAAATAGATTTTTTGCCTTTCTGTAATTATTGTCTCAACCATTTCTTTATAATTTTTATATAATTTCTTTCATTATAAAGCCCACTTAATTTTTTTCTTTGAAACTAAATTGTAATCTATTTTATTTCTTCAAGTAAGAATGAAATTGCTTAACATACAAACTAAACAGCCCTTTGAAAGGGATAACTCCATAAAAATATAGAATTTAATTGAATTGGCTTCGTATATTTAAAAAGTTGATAGAATCAATATAATGCCAACACTGAAAAATAATCCAATCCAAATAGAAATAAAAATTAATGAAAAGACTAGCAGATGATCAAAGTTTTGGTGTATTAATCAGATTGTAAATCTAAGATGTTATTTTGTTACTCCAGCATATTCAAAAGGAATTTGGTGTAGCCATATTTTAATTTTTAATCATCATTTATTATACTAAAACTTAAAAAGATGCTAAAGAAATCTGATAAAACAAAACAAATGCAATTATCTGTAAGTAATTGGCTAAATGATGCCAGTAAAACTCTTATAATTTGGGTATAAGATCCTTTTTTTTGGGGGGGAAGGGAAAATAATGAAAGTAGGTTTTCATCCTCTCCTACACCTCTCTATTTAAGCCATGTTGTAT